TCTCTCTCTCTCTCTCTTTCTTTGAAGCCGCACGGGGGTCACTATGACGTACTGCTAAAATGTGCGCGTTTAACCTAATATAAGAAATGGGGGTGGGATGTAGGGCTCAAGTAGACCTTTATCCAAAATTTCTACCTGACCCAAACATAACACTCCAAATTAAAAACGTGGGTGGTTGGCAGGCGTTCTGGTGTGGTTTGCTCCCCTTCTTTCCTGCCAAACATACATCGAATTTGTCTCTCCTCCTTCTTTTCTTTTGTATGTTACTCTCGAGAAAAAATTACTCCGTCGCCTTTAACCCTATCCGTACGTCGTGTTTAACTATTGTATCCATACGACGTGGGGAACTCTGTGCCACTACTTTTCAAAGAGGAAATTTACTCCTTAATCCGATCCGTACGCTTTGCATAGCAATCTGTCAAAATGATTTTTTTAGAAAAACTGAAAGTTTTAAAGAGATCTTCGAACTATGAGTATTCTTTACTTACTTTACTTTACTTTTCCGATCCAGCGGCCGTTTGGGTTCTAGCCCTTCGGTCTGTTAGAAGTATTCTAAAATGTGAAGAATACAAAATGACCCCAGGGCGCACGGATAGGGTTAAACAATGTCCCGCGGCGCCTGATACACAGGATCCTGACCAGGCTCTCTATACCGAGGCTTATAAGTAAGAATGAATAGTAACACCTCCGATCTTCCTCACTTATATTATAACCTGTTTAGTATTACCTAGATACCTGGAAGTGTCATCTCTGACTCAGAGGTTGACATGTAATAACCCTCCATCTTTCACGGTCGCGAGCTGCCGTTGCACATTCTGCCATATCCAGGCCAGTCAATGTTCTTATACATGTATTGTCCTTCCATGTTATTCTTTGCCTTCCTCTGGCTCTCATGCCCCCACATCTTTCTTTCAATTGCACTTCTTTCATAATGGTTTCGTGCCGTTTTTGGTGGCTATAGTATTGTATTTTTCTCCACTATTTGTGTTGCAAATGCCGTAAAACTCTTTTACTCAAACTAAACGAACAAAGTACACGCATTGACCAAAAAAAAACAACAACAAAAAAAACAAACGAACGTAGACGGCAGACTTACCCGACGGACATGATGGGCGGCCATATTTGTAGTGCGGACCAGCCAATGATGACGGAAAAGATGGCCACCGACACGGCGGTGAAGGTCGTGTAGTCGCAGACGACATCCGGGCCCCAGCGGGACTTCAGATGGTCGATTCTGCGAGGAACAAGAAAACAGGAATTCCAAATCTTTTTTGAAAACGTGTATTATGGTAATATACGCAAAAGAGGCGAAAATGTGATTACAAAATACACATACATAATAATACATTTGTACAGAAGTATAATATTTCTTGACAGAAATAAACATTGAGACGACTTGTGGCTTCAGCTACTTATTCCGTCAGAGAAGAGTTTGCCACATTTTGAGAATTAAAAAGCTCCATTTCCACTTGTGGATGTGCGCAGCTCGCAGGCTTCTCTCTTGGTTCTGGCATTTCTAATTTGTGAAGCCTCACCACCCTGAAAGTCCCTATTGGAGTCAAAATTATGGATTTTGAGATTAAAGCATTTTTTGGCTTCTTCATCCCCTCTTACAACTATGATTTCATTGAATAAGAACCCCCTAAAGCTTGTTTTTTTCTTCTTTTTCTTATACCAGGCATGTCAGTCACCGCCATATCCTCATAAAGTCAATCGTTTATCTATCCGTACATATTATATTTGTGAAAGTTCGTCACTTTCGCAGCCTAAAACTTTCGACCCACTTAACTTTCGAATTTGAGAAGACTAATGGTGGTTCAGAATCATTTAAAGAGTGCACAGTTTTATTGAGGAGCCTGTGGTCACTTTAGTTTAATTTTCAGTTTTTAATTAGTTTCATTTATATCTAATCTACAGAAAGTCCGTCTTCTAAGAAGCCATTGTAAACAAATGAGGTTTCCATTCAATAGCCGTGCGCACTTTTTCCACACCTTTGAAATTCTGGAGTGTACAACCACGAAAGCGGAATAGAGAATCAATCTATACATCACTATCTAAACCTTCTAATTTTTTGCATCTCTCATGATTTATTGTTTCATTCCAGTAGAGTGTAAAAATATAGTAGGCCAATGACTTTTAGTTGATGTTAATGCACCAATCATTCCTTTCATTGAAAGGGGCCCAGCTAGTCTAAATATACTTTTTTTTAAAATAACCATCATTTTTCTTCCAATCTTAATGAATTTTTCAAACAATGAAAAGAATATGAAACACTCAAACTTTGCCTGTTGAATTTTCGATTATTACGGAATAGTTTTTTTTTGGTGGTGTCTGGAGTGTGGATTTTTACGGCCTTTTTTTTTTTTTCCTTCAAAATTGAATACTACCTGAGGAAAAAAATCGTTAAAAAATGTCTAAATCGTTTAGGAAAAAAATCCAGCAGAAAACAGAGAGAGAGAGAGAGAGAGAGAGAGA